CATTACTGAATGATACATTTATTTTCATCTTTTTATGGGATAAACACTCGTAGAAATATAGCATTAAGGATTAGTGTATAACTGAAATTGGAAGTGGCGGACAGAAATGTTTTAAGATGCCCGACGTATCTTTCCAAATTCACATGCTTTTGGAACAGTCTCTTTTGGGAATTAGCCATCAAACTGAACTAAATCAAAGTTTAAACTTGGTAATGAAAAAGAGATTTGGTGGGAAGCAGAGTTGTGCATACTGAGTTACCACCTTTATTTATGGAAATGCACAACAGAAACCAGAATGATTGAATCAAGACACTAGTTGAAGCCATTATCTTAATGAATACGTATAATCCGATAGGCTGGAAGGTGTTTTCAGAATAATACATATAATAATTGCACGTACTACTGAAATTTGTAAACTTTGACATGTATTCTCTTTTTTCTGTTGAACTTTTCTGACTAAGGTTTTTTACCTTATACCCAAATGTGTTGGGAAAGTGCATGGTTTAATGACAGATGACATAATTTCTGGAGTAAGGTATTTATGCTTTTGATTGTCACTACTTTTTCTGGTCATTTTGAGCAGTAATGCTGTTAAGTTATTGTGGGTGATTATCATTATTTTCTCCAACATTGCCAATATAACTTATTTACTATTTGTGGCAATCATACAGAGGTGTTTATCTATCATGTTAACGAAACATCGTGTCTTCTTGTCAGCTGAAAATTCATAAAGTTAATTAATTTAACCTCAAGTTAATTAATTTAACCACATAAAAAGTATTATTCATCTATCGTTTATTATGAGATCATAGCGCATATTTGTCTGAGTAATTATGTTGATCTTTGGTCGTCCAATTATACTATAACTGATTCACTTTTCTTAGTTCTTCTATAGCCTTCCAGATTGTTGTACAAGGATCTACTAATTCTGAAAAACGAATTTACCAATATCTCCAAAAAGTATTTGATATTAACGTATCACAAGGTATATACCAGTATATTTACCTGCAGTAAATATGAGTTCGGGTGTTCAGTTTCTACAAATGATTCATCGTAAATAAAGTGTAGATTAGGTGAATGACCTCTCTTTTCAAATAACTAAACTACTTTTAATCCTTTAACTCTATCAGACCTTATTGTATGATTAAATACAGGTAAAAGCATTGCAATAGCTGGATTTTTTATAGGTTATTCAACTTAGCAGGGCCAACCATTCTAGCTCCAGGTAAATTCCTATGTTCCGATAATCTAACTGACCCCGATTAACTACTCTGACCTGCATAAGAGACCTCACAGTTATTACAATGACCGTAGTTATAACTGACATGATTATGAACAGTAGTAAATTGCGTTCGAAACGTTATCCAGTAAATAATACGGTTTCACTGTGTGATATATCGAACAAACAAATTATTATGGAAAAACTACTCAAATTCTTACTGATTTCACTGTTCTAAATTATTATTTCCGCACCTATGTAAATATAAATAAGAAGTCTTCAGTGTTCAGCAAAGATCCATAGCAAACCATAGATATCGTCAAGCTGAGTTTAGTGTAGGTATAAAAGTAGCACCAGAATCTGACCATTCAAATAAATCAAGCTTATTAATAAACAGGTAGCCTGTAAGTACAGTCGAATAGAATGGCCAGAACTTCGGATAGTTACAATGAAATGGACTGTTTTAAATCAAGAGATTCAAGTAAATCTAGGCTTTAAGAACTACAAATTAGTAAAACAAATTCTGAGGCGGTGTGAATACGTTGATATGAGCAATAAACTGCGCTCAAAACGTCATCCAATTGTTAATACTGCATCAGTGTATGATTATATCAGTGTGGAACTATATTCTACCAAATTCCTCCGGTTCTAAACTTCTATTAAAACATAATTGTTCACAAAGAACTTCTATATGTTAACAGCAGATAAAAATGAACTTTATCTATGAAAAGTACAGAGAAATCCTTCATAAAGCAAAGATTATTTTCCTTTATTTCTTTACGTCCCCAGTGGAACATACTGATACAAGTTAGGGCTTTGAAGTTTCCGTAGCGGTGGTTATTCTTTTGCGGAGTAGTTTGCTAGCTTCATGCCCAACCTTCCATCTTTACCAGTCTTATTACTGGCTATCCGAGGTAAGGGAGTGCATAGACCGGGGACTGAACACCTAACGACATGCGTGGTTAGCGAGCATTCTACCGCTAGGCCACAAACATACAGGAAAAATGACAGACATATATAAAAAAGGACGAAATAAAACGGTGAGTCATTTAACCGCTCCATCTCGCAAGTTAGTAAGAAGTGACACAGCCGTCGTAGAATGAAAGGATGAATGATGCAGAATAGAAAGAATTTTAAGTTTAGTTGTACACAAAGCTTGAATTCATTACCAATTATCATATGCTAGCAGTACCTTCAGCAGCATAAAGACCTTTTTTTCAGAAATCCCGCCTTTTAAGTTAAGTGGTAGATGGAGATTTCGCTGTACAAAACGGTGATAACGTGAAACTCCTTTATTCATATTTATTACCAAAAGAATATATTTCTAGTAAGTTATCAAGTTTAGAAAAATTTAATAGAATTTGTCCACAAAGCCCAGCTTCTTTTCTCTCTGATAGAAGGCATGCTTAAGTATCATTTCCCCAAACCTAAATGAGTACTTTGGGGATGTTAACGACTGAAGTTTACAAAAAAGATCACTTCCTATAGGAACCTTCATGAAAACACTCCTCAGGTGTAATCAGCAGATACGGAATTGTTCTTCAGTTGTTGATCAATTTCAGGAAAACATTTAATAGTCTTTTAGCAGAGTAAACAAAATTTCTGACGAAGTTCGTATCGTAGTTAAAGTATAACACAAATAAATTACTGCTAAAAATCTAATTTAGTGTCAGTATGTGCACATGTGAAAGTTATGGTATGACTCTAAGTATAAAACTTGGGCACTGTGGTAGAGTGTAACTCCTTTATGGAAAAGATTTTATTTTTGATAAATCACACAGTGTTATATACAGTAATATTAACTGATGACCATGTTTCGAGCACAAACTATTGCTCATTATCATATCAAGTCCCTCACAAAACTTTTCACTTCATTTATATACAGGAGTGAAATTGATTAGATATTTGAATAAAAATCAATGTAGGATAATGTACATTCAAAAGTAATAATATGAGTGTTATTGATCAAATACAGTCAGATGGGAAATACGATGCATGACCCTCCAGTTTAAGCATACCTTCTATTGGTTTTATTGGTTAGAACTTAAAAGCATCAAAAATTTACTGTCCTACTTCAATAAGATTTTTCTAGTTAGCATGTATTACTACTAATCATATTGTTCTTCTTTCTTGTAATCGTATAGTGTTCTTAACCAATTCGCATCCAAAGGTATACGTAACTGCGAATCCATCCTGGTGTCTCAACTATTTTCACTGAAAACTGTCTTTAAAGACAATACAAATAATTATTTCCACAGGGAAATGTCCTTGTGAATAGGTTAATGAAAGTTATCAATGATAATTGCTTTCAAACATATAGTGACCTGAAATAGAGGTACGTAGCTTGCTGCATTAAGCCCTCCAAAATTCTTGAAAGAACTTTGTCAGGCATATTTCTCAGCTGCAAGTATTATACTGCTAAGAAGAAGAAGAAGAAGTGAAGAGTTACCGTCAGTAGAAGCATATATGTGATATCAGTTTATTACATGTGCAATTCGTTTATATGTTTTCACGTGCGTGGTATGTAGCAATTTGGCTTATTCAACTGTATGTACAACCGAGAACTTTTATCACTCTAGTGTCAGAGTAATCTCACAAGTGACAGAATTATCTTAGATCCAGAATTTAGCATAATTTTATGATTCGTTCCCGCAAATAAAAGTTTGTATTTTAGACTGCAATGTCATGTACTTCCAAATTCGTTGTGCTTATACGCGTTCAATTTCTTAAGATAAATAGGTTAGGTTAATGCACTTATACAAATCCATTTGATAGTTGACGCGTTGTGCAGCTGAGTATTAACATTTACTGTAAACTACACAACTGATAAAAATTCTAATTTATTAGTTTATGACCTCACGTATAAGGCACTGATGCATTTTGAAGACGAGAATGAGTTCATTGGATAAAACAGGTTTAATATCCTGTATATAACGATAATATACTGCATAATTCACCCGATACAAGTAAGTGACCATCATTAAAAAAGTAAACGGTGGCCTATAATCGTCTGATACTCAGTTATAGGAATTCGCACAATCGCATTTCAACATATTATGCATACATTATTTGAATAAGTTGTAATTTCTAGCCACGTTTTAGAAAGTAAACAATCGTTAGGTGGATGAGGTCGATTACTACCATGTTAATTAGATAAATTTATTTATTTGTATAAACTCCAGATAATTGATCTGTGTCAAAAATTATTTCAACTCACAATTAACATTGTAAAGGTTCACAACCGAAAATAAAAATGTAAGCGTTTCTGAGTAGTATCACTTATCAAGCCAGGACACAACTTCTATCTTCTCCGCTTCGATAAACACATTCATTAGTGGTTAGTTGATTAATTGAGCAATCACAGAAATATACAACGGCATAGAATTCTTTTGGCTAGTAGTATTTTTAAGATGGGCTCTATATGACCATAGTTTACTTAACTTTTCAATTCAATTGAACAACCTCATTAACTTGAACTAGTGGTAACAATAATCCTTTTTGGACAATCAAACCTACCATACTACACTCAGAACTAACAAAATCCATAAAAAGACTGTAATACATGGGTCTTAGGCAACCGTGTCGAATAATCGGTGAGCATATGAAGAGCAGGTGACAGCTGAAAGCTCAGATTAACAGATATGCGAAGAAACCGATGCCGATAATTCAGTGAAGACGCTTGGTAAATTAATCTTAATTTTTTCCAATGAGATGTTAAAATTCAAGCAACGTGTGACAATAAATCTCGCGTAGTAACCAATTCGATAGTGCGAAAATACAATAAACAATGATTACATTTATTTCAAATCAAAAGCAGCCCTTTATTAGCCCTCTTTCATGCATAGCTTTTAGGAAATTAAATGATCAATTTGGAAGTTAACAAAAAGTAAATGCCACTGAATTTATGGATACGTTTTACATGTCTCATGACTAAGTGCAATTTATGACTACTTGTAACACAAAAAGAAGTTGGGAACAACGATTCTTCTGTATTCTTTCCCCATCTTTTGTCCTTCTATTTATACTTCTCAATCATTTCCCTTAGTTTGTCCAAATTGGCACCAACCACTTCATCGATTTTCTCTCCACCCTTGAATGCAATGAATGTGGGCATTGCAGCTATCGCATAAGTCTCAGCCGCAGACTAGATGGGAGAAGAAACATATAGAAAATAAAGATGACACTGGTTGATGAATGAAAGTCGAGCAGTTATAACTGTGAAAGATATTTATTTAAACATGAATTGTATGCACCAGTGGAAGTATCATACGCTGATTGAATTACTTATTTTTACCCTGTAGGAAAATTTCTCTTCTCTAAAAAGAATATGAGAAACTGTTCAACTCAAGGAAAGCTAATTTGCCTGCCTAAACAGAAAAAGGCTTAATTTATAGAATGATAAAACAGATTGTGTACACCGATAAACGTTTAGTTACAGTGATTATTTCATGAACTCACTTGTGTGGTTATTTTTGAACCGACAACAAGGTAAAATTAACATATCTAAGTCAAGTTGCTCCCGTTTTTCCAACCCGAAGTGATGTGTTCGTTGAACTTGTTGAATGTCTACACTTTCTAAGCGATTCACTATTGATTTAACGATATACAAACACAGCGACTCATTTCCTATGACGAATCTGGCCTTGGGTTCCAATCCGCTACAAATATAGATTCAATCCCTGTATCATATAAAATACTTCGCAATAATAAATACACATATAGACTAGTGCGCAAACATATCGTTTTATTCTGAACATTTGCAAGCTAGGTCCATCAACAAATTTTAAACCAATCTAACTCATTTACATTCCAGAAAGTAATGATGAGATAATATATTTCCGTCTCTATTCATCTATTTTAATTCGAATAAACATAGTTATTTCGTACTCTTCTCCACATTATAGGAACTGCAGAACTGAAACTATGCGAACGCCAACCTTTCACTTACAGAGGCTGTTATACAATTTATCATAAACTGAAATCGTACCTTATCAAGACTGTCTGAAGACTTCGCCTAGTTTTTCCAGTTTTCAGTAGCCTCATCTCAGCTTTTCTCTGATCGTTGGTGTCCATTGTTAGTCCTTCATCTCTCGGTGGTATTTCTGGATGAATCGAATATGCCAGTCGACGCAGGAGTTCTTTCGGCTGATCAGATCAATGTTTCCTCTCTCCCACTCCTTCCATAATCAATTCGCCCCCCTCCACTATCTTTGACTAGTTTCGTCTCAGTTGATCTCCTCTAAGGTAGCGATCTGGTTATTTGACGTAATGTTGTGAAGTCTCTTATGTGCCGCCTGTTGTCCTTTATTTTCCAGTGTATCTAAAGCGCATCTTTTACTCTTCTTTATACCCTTCTCCGCTGTTCCATCCGACGCTTTCTAGATTGCATTCACCTCCTTCTTTCGGTGTTCATCCCTGCACCGTTTCTTCTTCTTTGACTTCACCACCGCTCTCCTCTTTATTAGCTCCCAGGTATTTGTAGAGGACCATTGCCTGCATTTTCATGCCTCTTTTTCCTTCCTGGGATGTACATGCAGGCTTCCTTCGACGTCTCCTTCACAGACTTCAAGTGTTCTTCCTTTCATGTTTCTCCGGTAATGTTGCTTCATATCTTCGACTTTCTCGACGACCACAGTGGTGTTCATCTTAATCTTGTCCCTCAGTGTCTCACTGATGAACCTGCGTTGTGATCCGTCTCCAGCCTATTTCAGGTCATTAAAGTTAAACTTGAAGGCCACACTTATACAAGTGTAGTGCTAAACGTCCACCATTCCTTGATACTCTGTTACACTGAACATGGAAAGAAGATTTAATCTATCCACCTGAATATCTTCTGTAGTATTCAAATTTTGTTTGATAAGCGTATCCTTTAAAATGTTGAACACAATGGCTACTTATAACCTTGAAAACGTCATCAATAATAGTTCTTTCTGTTAATATTAATACAACTAACCTCTAACTCGTCAACGTTCAATTTTACGAACAGGACATCTTGCCATTCTTCACATATTTTATCTAGTTCTGGTGCAACTCTTTTACACGGACCACACCAATCAGCGAAAAAGTCCAATATCATTAATTTCGTTTCACTCTCCTTGATGGCTTGTTCCAATTCTTCCTAAAAGTGACGTTTCCAACAACATGATTTTCATTGTAATAAGCAAGGCATGTTTAATTTGAGAAACTTACCCTCAAAAATAGATATCACCTGGTAAAAACTTCACAGGGTAATGATTTCGGTTAATTTTTGCAACGAGCAGTATCTGAGCTATACACAATAATTATGTGAGGATTTATCTAAACAAAATAGTGGCAACATCAGGTGAAATGAATTAGTGCAGATGCACTTGAGTTGAAATTCCCTAACAAGTCACTGATAGCCTTTATAGCTTTGTCTTCGTGAAAACTTCAGAAGGAACAAACCTTTTTCATTTTATCATGATAAATATATGCACATAACATTATAGCCAGCCTCAAAGTCAAGCACAGGCTGCCTTGAAGTATATCCGTTCTCATGTGAATATTTGCGAGTCATAAGTTGATGCAGCCTTACACATAACTTGGAGTGAGCTGTGTTCTATGAGTGATTCCCTATACTTTCCAAACGTCCATGGATGTTTGTACCACTGTCAAGCAGCATTAAACGTACATACCAACTTACTGAACTTCTGAATTTTTTAACAGTACTCTTATCTCAGTCAATCCGCCAATCATCTCATATAGCATTTCTCATTATTTGCAAATGCGTATTTGATGAAGCAGTCAACCGTGCATGAAGGAACTTTAGGCCAAATTTGTATTCAACTATTGCTTATGTGTAATAAGGGTATGTTGATTCAGTTTGAAGGACAAAATAACCTATACTTTCGTAGTGTCGGACTGTGATGTTTAGTCACCTTTTCATTGTCCTTTTAGTATTTGGGATGTTGTGATTTAATGCACTATTTAAGTCAACCAAAACTGAACCACATGTACATGGATAACTGTGCAGTCATTAGGAACAAATAATTGGAAAATTAAGTAACATACCCCATGGTGGTTTGCAATAACTGAAATGTCTTTTCTCCTTGTCTGCGTTTAAATTATTCTAAACATCCCATTATTTAGAAATTCCTCTAACTTTCCTTTTATTCTTTTCGGCATTCATGTACTTTGAATCTACAGAAGATCTTCCGCCGTGTTGTATTTTATGGCATTCGTCCGTGGAAACAAATCAGGGATTGGGGAATCGATAAATGCACTCAGTGATGACTACTCAAGTTTAACCCACAAATCAGGAAATAAGCAAGTTCATGATGCCTCTTTTTTGGAATTTTTCTTTGGGGTATTAATAGGTGAAGTGGCAGAAGTTAGAATTCATGGTCCATTGAACCGGGTCCCATTGGCTTAATGGTCCACGAGCTGACTGGTCTTATAACCAGAAGGTCCTGGGTTCGAACCCTGTCGATGGGTGCGTATTGTGAAGAGTTCCAAACTACGGTGGAGGAGACAGCTGTGCAGTACTCCCAGCTGGTTTTCTAATGGTTCTACGACTGATGTCAGCTCATGAAGAAATTCTCCAAACAATCAAACAAAAATCTCTATAAAACCAACACTTAAAAATGAGCGAACAAGTCTGGGGCTCCCGAGACAAAAGTCGACATTACTACAATAGAGTTCTTAGTTTTATATTTCTGCATGAGCAAGTGTATGGCTCAAACGTGCATAAACACTGTCTTGGCGAATAGCAGTGAAGTGAAAATAATACGTTGCACTAGGTATTACCTGCAAAATCACATGACTGTTACGCATGCTTTTGACATTACATAAGACCTATACTGGTAGACAGCTGTATGCCATAGAATTATTTCCAGGAGATTAGAGACACAGCCAACACCAGGGGGAATCTTTACATTCAAGGGAAATCGCCTAGATTAACCCCGTGTTTTTGAAGATTTAAGTTTATGACAACTCATTTTATTACTTATATTTTTAGTCATCGGCAAAGTTTCTGAAAAAGTGAATTTTCTAGGTTCCTCCATGTTGAATAATCCTATTCCGAGTGCTTTCGAGTTAATTCAAGCAATGAATACTAAACAAAGGGAAGCCGTTTTATTGCGAGAACTTTCTCAGAAGACAGAATGCAGGGAATATTAAAATATGGTCCAAAAAGAAGACGTGCGGATATAAACCTTCACAGCGTCGAATTCGTGAATAACAAACACGCAATGCTTTGGATATCCCATCATGGTCATTTAGTCAATACTAACAAAAGTATAAATATCCAGACCATAGATTGCACGAATTTCCTGGAAACATTTAAGCACCGATTCTGATAGGATCATTGTAAATTACATATAATAGTCCCAGCGCGTTTAAGAAAAATCCGGAACAGCATATTTTTGAACGCTCTGTCGTGTAAGTCACAGCTTCTTGAGAACAATTACTCGGATTTTATTGACCATCCCCATCAAGACACAAGCTGTCAGATGTCACGTTTGCCTAAACTCAGTTATGCTCTCCACTCCTACTATTTTCTTTGAAATTCCTCTCAGTTTATTGTTTTCCCATGTTACTGCCCTATACTTTTCAAGTAAATGATTATAAATTCGAAATAAGTGACAGCTTTGCCATTTAGTTATTTGGTTTCCACAATGATAGCGAAATTCCTCTCAAATGAAGGGCGTTTATCTTATCAGTTGACGATTACATTCATTGAGGTAGTCAAGTTTATTAGTGGAGATAAACGTATCAAAACTTTTAATATTTAATTAAAATCGAAATACCCAATAATAAAAAATCGCATTCTTATAAGGAAAGTGCAACATAATATATTTGGTTAATTTCACTTTAACTGATTAAAAATGCCCAGACGGAGATCGAGATCAGTGATTGGTCATTCACTTACCACCATCCTTCAGGAGCGTTCTACACGCTACTCAAAAAGATACCAAGAATGTCATTTCAATCGTTTAGTCTGTTGGGACGTTGTTAAACAAAAGTTTAAATCTCCTTGATTTAATAAAACACCACGTCCTCATTTACGTGCCTTGTACTTAAACTGGCTATTGTCGGTATTTGGAAGCCAGGCAATTATTAAACAGCTAAGTGGTCAAGTCTCGAATGAGCCAGTTTAATTCTAGCTGTATCCACATGGCCTAAATCACCAAAGAATTTTACGATGTCGGAAATAAGCAAATGTAAGCGCAGATGATTATGGAGCTAAATATACAATAATTGCTATATATAACTAATACGTTCTTGGTGCTCGTGGTTTTCGATTCAGAGAAAATATGTCTAGCTATATGAAGAACTGTGTAGTAAAGCAATGAACAGGTCTCATCATTTTTTCCATAGGTGCGAAGAGACTGAAGTTTTAGCTTGGCACCTAGAAAGTGAATAGAAATTATCGTAGGCAATTAGGAAATAAAACCTTTGATACCGAATGTAATGTGTCTATTTAATGACGAGTGGCTGAAGGGCTTTCTACGCGTGTGTAGAAATTGCAGAATTTGCCATCTGCAAAGTCAAGCAAAAATGTAGATTCCAGACAAATGGAGCACAACATGCAATAAGTCAGAGAATTCAATTACAAAACGACATGCCAAAAACCGTCGAAGTCCATTTATTTTACTTTTACTATGAAAGCCACCAACTAATGACTAGTTTTCAGGTTAGATAAAATAAAATGCCTCGCAAAAAGCAATTTATAACTCTCAGTTAATTTTGTAGCCAAACCGCAGAGGTATACTAATGAAGCTGTAGAAAAAACAATAACAGAAAGGGATAGCAAGTGTTTAGTATAACTGTAAAATTCAATCACCACCAAAAATAACCCGGTAATTTCCATATTTCTCCATCATTTCTTCACCAAACAGTGCTGCTTTACAAACTGACTACCTGATCGTTGGTAAACAGATACCAGCAGTGATAAAATCTAAACTGATCGAAGAAGATGAGTCTTGGCGCACAAACTGAAACAAATTTTCATCCTACTTTCCTCACTCACAGAAGTCTAAAGCCACGTTTTGCAGTCACCCAGGGTAAATGTCAACTACAAGCACATGCATAGCATAATGACTCACCTAACGGTATGCTTTATGAAATGTGTTTATAAATAAAATTTGCACAGAACTTTAATAATTTGGATTGCAGTCGATGACAATGAAGCTTAAAACATCTCTCATATCCCGAATGTCTAGTCCAACAAATATTACTATATGGATCCAGATCCATTCGCTGCTAACAGTGATTCAAATGCCTTATAGACGTTCGGCAGCTTGATTCAATAAACAGTGCTTAGTGCATATCATTGGTAGAAAAATGCCGGCAGATAATATGTTTTGCAGGATGCAGCGCACCTCAAGTGTATTTAAAGACATAAAACAATTGAATTTCTTCGTGTCGTTGTCACTGAAATGCAGTTACACACACAATAGCAAGCATTTATGCGTGTGCAACTAAGCTATCGGCAGATATGTATTGTTAGAAATGTTCATCAAAGACTATTAGTAAGTAAAGCCATGAAACTAGCCGAAAGTATGTTAACCTACTATTTACATGCAAGTTGGTTGTGAGTCACTTAACGTCTTTTCAACTATCCTAAGTAGTTGCTTGGGGGAATATCAGAAGACACACATGAAAGTAAGAAGGCCAATGTCTTTAGACGCATTTGTTACTAAACTTGCCGTTTTGGCATTTATCTGTATAATAGTTTCGAAACCTCTGAGAAAACTATCAGGAGACTCCAAAAGCAAACTATACGTGCGGCCCAGATTCGCCTACTGTTTATGGCAAACTTGTTGTTTAGGTCGATGACAAACATTTTCAGGGAGGAAATAGACCTACACTTCTGGGATCAACATATTCTACCTAAAACAATGAGGAGTTGTTGCTTAAAACTGAGTAAGAGACTAATTTTGGCTTATAAATGAATTGGCTCACACTGAATTGCTTTGATATTTCTGTTGGTGAGAGAACCTCGACAAAGCTCGTATAAGGGTTGCAATGTACAGACAGACACTGCGCGGCGTTTCAGACCCTCAAACAAAGAAACTTTAGACAAACTACGAAATCAGTGTGATGCCAAAACACAACTGGCGGAAGCAAGTATCCAGTACCCAAAGCATGGTAAATAAAGGTCAAGTTAATATATATTATGAACTGATAGACTCTACCATTTACCTTAACAGTCACACTATTTTGCCGTTGGAAAACAATATGAATATCGTAGGTAAACTCTAGTGATACAATAGGTTTCTCGTTTAGTACCTTTCATAACAGTTTGAGCATCATGTAATATTCAAACAAACTGTAAGGAGAAATTTAAAGCAAGTGTCACCCGTTTTGGCATGAAGTTTAGACTGATTTACTCGAGGTTGGATTTTGCGGCAAGTTTATGAGATAAGTTGAAAGTAAGCAATATAGTGATTCTTATTTCCCAAAAATCATAAAAATTTGACAATGATAAAACAATGTTCATAATTAACCTTGACAATAAACTCAACTCTGTACAAAATTGCTATAAAAATACATAAAGTACACATAAATACCTCTGTCTGAACTTCTCTCATCCTTCAGCGATAGCTAATGTCTCAGTTTTGGAAGTGTATCGCAAATAATGTAAAGTTTACAGTTGAATAATGATGTAGACAAACAATCAAGCGATCAAGATATTTTCAGAATCCTGATCGAGGATAGAAAGCCTCAGGTCTATTTTAATCCTTTTCTCATAAGCACTTGTGTTTGTCCCGTCCATTATGGAATGGGCCGATTGGTGCACCAGGCATCACCTATCCTGGGAGTGTGTCCTAAGTGTTACTGACTTGGTAGGGGAACCGAACACTTAAATATGATTTTCGGTCTGACGTAACAAACTCTCTGGGGAAATGGCATTATTGTCGTACTGAGATAGCAATGGACATTTCTATGTGAAAAGTGAGACTTTCTCACGAATGAGATGTAACGAAATAGTTGGGATGTATTTGTTTGGAAGTCATTTCAACCCTCAATGCTCGGGATTTCCTGACGTTCGGGTCTGTAGTGAAGCTTCTGTTCCGTCGACAATATAAACATTATTTGATAAGTATTTGAGACGATGACACTTTTCTAGGCGAAATTTCGACCCACTTATCTTCCTAGCTGCGTCAGACTGTTCGGGCACCTGATATGAGGAATATGGCACACAGTACACATTTGTAGTGTTTGTTTCTCCTGGGAACATCCAATTTCAAGGAAAAGTATAGTAGCTGCAACCTAGAATTCACTAAAAATATTCGTCCGTAAACGTCCCGTTAGCGACGATGTTTCTCGGGTTGCCTATTCACACGTCTTGTTCCATGTGAATGAGCACTTGCAAACTGCGTTCAGGGAACGTATTCTGAAACCTTGCTTCGTTTCGGTCATATGCATGGTCGATATAAATCATAATAGGAGATCTAAAATATTATGTTTTGTAGGGTGGAAAATGTTAATGCTTCTGATGGGGAACAGAATTCTTCGTATTTCAGCCGCAGCAGTATTGTTGTACGGATACATTGCCTAACTTTGATTAATCTTTCGACCTCGCCTGTTCACTGCTATAGGTGCACCTATTCCACCAGGCGCTTTTTCCCATCTATGTGGATGTCATTAGTGTCGCTATAACTTCTTATGTATTCTACCTCCATTTTTGGTGTTAAACTTTGAATTTCAAAACGACTGTTTTTTATGCATTAACTATAATATCTCAAAACACATCGCATTCGGCTACGTGAATCTGATCATACCTCTGATGTGCTACTCTAAATGCACCTCTCATAAACAAGTTAAAATCACTAGCAGTATATGTGAGCGATAAAGTTCAGAGTTGCCAAATGCACATATGTTCACGCTTGAAAAACGACTCGTTCTTTTTCGAGAAAGAAATTATTATCAATAAGCCGTAGTTATATTTTTAAGTGAGTAATGAAGCGACGAAGCATGAGAAGACGTGAAGGTTGAGTTACGAACTGTATATGATGTTTGTCTTGATATATAATCTGATGTTACTTAGGTAAACATCTTGTTAACCTCATTTTTACCAGTATTTATTATCTGAGAGGCATTTAGTTTACAAACTCAATTGAACTACCTTGTGTTTTTATTTAAGACGTGTACAAGAGACTGCACAAGCAGGTATTTAGGATATGCACTCCAACTTTATTCATCTCTAAGGGAAAGATTACTGAAACTGACCTCAAGTATCTTCAAATTCTCCAGTGGATGTGTTTGAAGGTGAGTATTAAAATATTCCTCATTGAAGTCATTATTTTCTTTGGCAGTTAATCAGCGTTATTTAACATGTAATTTTTGTGTATGCATCTCGGAGACTTCCAAAGTCAGGTGAGAAATTTTAAGTTTCCAGCCAATTCAAATTTTATCGTAATTTTTCTGCTGTCAGAAGATTTAAGGCCAGCCACTGTGAAGCTTACGCCCTACATCTTTTGAGAGTTTGTTTCCTCCGGCTTCCATCTATTCTATGGTATGATTATGTCAATACTGCCCATATGAACTATTACTGAGGAATCTGATCGTATTTGTTACGGAAAGCGAATGTTTATCACTACAGAAGAGTGATGTGTAACGACATGCAGATTATCTCTTCAGGTTGTTCGTTTGCTGAGTCAGAAGTCACTCATCATCCTTACCTGTGTTATTCACAGGAAGTCATTTCAATGAATGAGCCGGTGAAAAAGATGTTACCGTGCTCCCCCTAAGTTAGTTGCAAACTCACATATAATTTCATCAGCATTTAGATGGTAGGACAGAAAAAGGGAACACCTTCTTCTTTTTAAATACGCATCAAATTGCTTAAGTCCTAGGTGAACAAACATAAATGATCTTGATAATCACAGGCATTTCGTTGATACAGATCACGTGGTAGAAATCCTAGTGTCCTTTGAGATTACCAGAATAGGTTATGGTCATGTTTTTCCCATTTGCGCACAATAAATTTCTACGAAACACATAAAATCAAGATTACTGCACAATCGGTTCCAGGTCAGTTGGTGCGCTCCCAGAGATCCCTATTGCTGATCTTCCCTAGCCATCTGATCTTCAACGAAGTATTGAGCGAATACAGCTGTTGATGAAGATCTGTAATTTGTTCGAAGAGTTCTTCGAAATCTCCGATCCATATAGTAACGCTGACTTCGCATTGGAGTTGAAAATCTGGATCTCATTTTTTATTCTGAGTGCTGTTGGACTGTACACAGACTTGAGATTGATGAAAGCTTGCCTTACTTTCCCGATCCTCGCTTTAATACCCTCATCAGCTCCGCCTGTAGTTGAAACGATGCTTCCCAGGCAGGTGAAGGAGGTTACTTCTTTCAGATTTTCAAAAGCTGTACAATCGCATTTAAATGCATAATTTTACGTAGAGACAATACTTGCTTGATTCCATATAATTACGAAGGCGAATAAAGGGTGGCAATTATTTTCGACTAGATATAGTTTATGAGAGCCTTAGAAACAAAAATTACACAGAATTGTGATATAATTGTAAAACAGTTATTTTAAAACAATTAGAAATGTGAGCAGGAAAAGAATGGAAGCAAACTTAAAATAACTGTCCTTATAACTGAAAAATGGGGTGAATTGAATAAAGGCAGAAAGAGTAAGAATCACACACACAGCGAACGAGAAAAGACCGTGAAAAGAGAACAAAAGAAAAAATAAACAAGAAAGGGAGCTGAGTGAACATACCAAACTAGGTCCATGGTAGTTGTAGAGAGTGGCCGAATTTCTTTTGACCACACAGCTCCGGCTTTCCGATGCATATTGTGAGGGCTTCTGCAGTACAGAGAATTCTGAAACATATTGCTTTTGGTAGGTTTCTGTTGACATTGTAAATTAATTGGAATGAATCAGTTGAGATGTTGTGGGAGGTGTCGATCAGTGCGAGTTGATCGTCAGTGCTAGGGTAACATGGAGGAGGTCATGCAGAAAGGAGGTGAAAGCATGTGGGCAGACGTGGAGTCAGGTGAAAACGTCGGCAGAGAACCAAAAGGGATGAAGATGTGCGGTTGAAGCCCGATGTTCCTCTAGAAACAAAGGAAACAAATGATAAATATATACATTACGATTGGGTTGGGCTCAAAGCGATGCAGTGCTTCCACTTCACATATCGCAAAAATCTCAGGACTTAACATAGAAAAAGGAGAGAGAGAGAGTGGCGCATGCTGATCAGCAGGTATGTTGGTAGTCAAAAATGTGAATAGTCCTAATGCGTAGGACAGCAACGCGCATTTTTTGACAGCTCAAGTATTTGACATTAGTCTAGATCCTGAACAAAAGGACAAAACATTAAGTAGTTCCATATTAGTTTGTTTATTTGATATATCACACAGTGAAACAGAATTATTTACTGGATGACGTTTCGAACATAATTTATCGTTCATAGTCACATCAGTTATAATCACACACCTTCGAAACTTGTGTTTTACAGTTTTCTTTGTTCTCTCCTATTTGTCGTCATTGGGGTAGTAGAATTTTCCAGATATCTGGGACAGGTGTTGAATCATTCCTATTACACTTGTTTGCAGTTGATTCGATAAACAAAGCTTCTGTTATCAATCTCTCCCTATACCCTGTGACATTAGATTTTACAACTGTCATCCTATTGTATGGTTGTGTGTAATTGCATGTAGTGCTATAGCTGAACTATTCTCTAGATTTCTTATCTTTTTAGAGGTTGCAGGTATCGACGTTCGCGAAATGTACGGATTATACTAACGCAAGATCTTATACCAACAACTTCTATAGTGTTCGTTCTTCGAGTACCAAATGGTAAAGCAAAAGACCAGATTTTGTCGTCCAAAGTACGTAGTATATTTCGGGACAAAATCGCGGATAGAGGTGAATGCTTAGCTAGCTAGTAATCGTGCACGCACGTGACACGACGGAGTACCAAATGGCGGGGATGCTTGACCGGAAGCCTTCAGCTAAACAAGTCGACTTAAACAGTGGTGGTCAGCATCCAATGTTGAGTGATGATTGCTGTGGTTAATAATTTTGGGGAATTATTTACCGCTACAGCTCACTCCCCCCTAGTGGGTTTGTGAGGACCCTAAGACATGACCAGCCGGAAGTAAAAAATCTCGATGGTTCCCTGATGGGTGAAACAAATCTTCCGAGCGGCTTGATCGAGAGCCTGCTGGTCTGTCTGCCTATGCTAATAGGGTGTCTGTACATAGCTTCCTCAATGTTGTTCTTTGGATCCCGTGCTTCGTTTGTTTCCTGTCCAGTGCCCGTTGCACCTGGAAAAGAAAACAAGAATGCTGAGAACCTTGTCAAGAAAAATGTACCAAATAAGCGTTTTTTTACCAAACAAATATGACATGCATCTACTATACAGTAAAATAATGTAAAGTTCAAAATATCGGGGGAAAAATATACATCTAATTTAATTTTATGTACGGTTATAGGAAAAATATCATTTACTTGTGTTAAATGACGCAACATAAAAAAAATTGATGTGTCACTCAGTTATGTGAAATAGGTGTGAAGGTATTCTGGGAATCTAACGTGACGTCCAGAACGCGTTTTCTTAGAGTGATCGACAGAAGTTTCAGTGGCTTTCGCCGTGCTAGGGAGTTCTTCGAAGACTAAAGGAGATTCGATTACTTGTGGACTATGGGGTACGTTTAGCTCTAAGCTAATAGGATTACCTTCCAAGTAAGCTGGTTTCAGACGGT